CCCCCCTCCCCATTTGAGTATCCAATGTCCAAGTTGCCCATCTCCGTCCACTCTGTGTGTGGAGGGGGTGGGAATGATTCTTGCTTTAAGGATTTGTACCTTCTTTTGAGTTGCTGCTCCATAGGTGTAGGTCAAGTTCATCAGATTGTATCAGCTCACTCTTTTTTTTTTTTTTTTCCCCTTCTTCTATCTTCTCCTGTTTGAGCTCCGATCATCCAGTCATCCGGTCCAGGTCACGTGGGTATCATATGCAGGTGTGGGTGCGCCTGTGCACATGCCCTCTCTTCCTGTCAGCCGGTAGCTCCACTCTCCTCTCGAGTCCTCTGTGGCCACGCCACTGACTCTTGGGCCCTATGTCTTTTGAACCTCCACCTGTTGCTGGAAAAAGATTTCAGCGGGTAGTCGTTGGAGAAGATGTAGGTAGCTAGGCCAGCTTGTGTCAGAAACAGATTGAACCAGCAGCCTATATGTCACTGCATGTGTATTGCTAATGGACTTTTTATGCTCAAGAATGGTCTCCTGGGGAGAATTTTTTTTTTTTCCTACAACGGGTGGAGGTTCAGAAGACATAGGCTCCAGGACAACTGCCTGTCCAATCCAAACTAATCTTTTAGGTGCCTCTGACTCTTGGGCCGAGAACAGTGCGGCTCCCTTTAAAGGTTCTAGGACTGTTAGGTTTTATAGCCCTCATCTATAGCACAGTGATTGATGCCTAGATGTTAAGTGCCTTTGAGTCAGTTTCAGCTCACAGTTGACCCTGTCTAGGGTTTCTGAGGAGTGGCTGGTGGGTTTGAACTGCCAACCTTCAGGTTGGCTGTCCAGTGCTTATCCTATAGCACCACACCAGGACTCCAAGACTTCAGTAAATATTTGGAATAAAGGTGATTCTTGTACCCATACATGCCTTTTCTTTCCACCCAGATTGTGAATGCCTTGGTGGCAAGGATTGTGGTACAGTTCTTTGTCCCCCTGCCCCCTCCCATCATTTTCTGTGGTGCTGTTTGGTCCCAGATAAACATTTGTAGAGAGTGAACTCTCTGGTAACTTTTGTCTTATATCTCCAGGGAGACCAGTGCTGGGGATCTGCGGCCACTGTATGAGTTTGTGCAGGAGGCCCTGAAGCCCGTGGACAGTGGGGAGGTCACGTGGAGGTGCCCGGTGTTGCTGGTGGATGACCTCAGTGTGCTGCTGAGCCTGGGCGTGGGGGCTGTGTCTGTGCTGGACTTTGTCCAGTATTGCAGAGCCGCCGTGTGCTGGAATCAGAAGGTATCATCAGGACTGCTCTGCATGCTGCCTCTTACAATCTCTCAGAACCCCGATTCAGTCCAGACCCCACTTGATTACACTGATCTATTTCATTTATTTGTTTGGGTTTTTGCTTCACACAGACAGTCCCAGATTTTTTGTTGTTCTCCTATCAGAATTAATACCTTTAAAATTAAAGGGATGCCCAGGAAACATCAAGGCAAGTGATCGGGTCCCCTCAGTGCAAACCCCTTCCAAGACTAAGACT